GAGGAGAGGGAGGGGAGGGGTTGGTCTAGCGCCATTCCTCGTGGAATAACATTTAATATTTGTTATTTCCTCACGTGTGTGAGACAGTCTTGATGATCGAGCCAAAAATAATATCGGAAAAGAATGAATTTGAAGGAATTGTTGTTTTCTTCAAGTAGATTCAGCTCAATATTTGCTAGCCTCCAGGTGGCGGCTCTGGTGTCGTCTCCGGGGAATTGTAAATTCATCGTGGGATTTGAGACGATTCGAGTGTCGGTGACGATGTGTCGTTGTTTCTCTCGTCAATCCGTCAGACTGTATTGAATTTTTTTTGGCTCGATGGCCGGCTCCTCTGTGCGGCTGATGGCTCTGGTGATGCTTCTTCGTGATCTTGATTGTGTGATCGCTTGACGCTTTGTTCATGAGCTCATTGTGCACGGAAATACTGAAACTTGGATTGTATTTCATGAAGTTGAAACATTGTTGCCGGACTCGTTGGCCTTTTATCGGCTTTCCGTATTTGTTGAAGCCGAGGTATTTTGTGGTGTCTACTGCACTGTTGTACCTCAGGTAGGAGCCGTGATATGACTCGTAGAACTGGCACATTGCGTCCCTCTGTTTTTTTGGCTGTGGACAGGTAATTTTACAGGGGGCGGATTAAATTTTTTTGGTTGTTCGCTTGAAGGGGCTTTAATGGATTTTTTATGAATGAAAATTACATTTTTTTCTGTCTGGAAATATGTTAAAACAAAATTAACTACTGCGCCATTGCAAATACCGGCTTTATTACTTTTTTCCATGATTTTTTCATTATTTATCAAAATTTTAAAAATGCGAAAATTTTCTGTTTTTCAAATTTAGGAGAATAAAACAATTACAGCTGTTTTATTTATTCAGTGAATTAATTTTCATTATTTATTCAATTGAAAAAAAATTTATTTCGTATTTTTTATTCAAATTTCATATGCGTTAACAAAAAAAATCATGAAAAATACGTTCCATCACTCTCTCTCTCTCAAAAAGTGAATGGATAAATAAATATGATCATTGTTAATCCAAGAAAGCGAATGTTTTCAATTTTAAAAAATCATCAAATCAAGAACGATGTTTTTTTCTCAATTAAAAAATCTATCTAAATAATCTAAATTTAAGGACCAAAAAAAATGCAAAATTTTTCAATTTTTCTAATTGTAAAAAATAAAATAATTACAACTGTTTTATTTATTAATTGAATTAATTCTCATTATTTATTGAATTAAAAAAAAATACGTTTCTTATATTTTTTATTCAATTATCGTATCCATTTAAAAAAACATGGAAAATTCTTCAATTCTCAAATTCTTCCACCCGAAATTGTCACAATTTTTAAAACAATTGTTAACCCAATAAATAATGATTTACTCACCAAAGCCACTAATTTCCAGCGTTTATTAAAACAAATATACCGTTGCGATTTCTCAGCATATATGTACAACTTCTTACTGAAGTCGTCCGACTGTGTCGATAGTTTCTCTGCAACATAAATCAGAGCGAAAGAATTACCAAATGTTGCCCCCACGACTATCCGGAGTTCCCCACATTTTTTCTCCCCCTCCACCCCCATCCCCCAGGCCTCATAACCCCGGAAGATGGGGCCGATGAAGGGAAAAAAAAGTAGTACAGCAACATGCGAATGGCAGAGTGAGGAATGTCCGTTCGGGAATATGTACTGAGAGGTAAATTTTCTGAGAAAAGAGCATTGGCTCCTCTTCAGGTTTATGGCGTGTCTCACATCGGCCGAGGGACTCTCATTTTTACTCCCCCTGTCTCCTTTATTTTTTTCTAGCACACTTGTACTTTGCGTGCCGAGACGAGAGAGTACGTATGAATAAAGAACCGCGGGCTAGTTGGTGCTAATGAAGGAGACACAGACGGTACGGTGTGTACTTTGCCACTTAGCAGCCCTGTCTTGGACTGAGTGTTCATCAGGAGTGGTTCGCCCTCGTCGCCAACCATTTCACTGGACTCTTCGATATTACGAAATAGTTTGGGTCATGCCCTTTCGGGGGTGCCCCCAGAAGAATTGTTTATTCGAAAAAAAAAATTTAACGAATGATTTGTTTCGTTCAATGGAAACTCAAACGTGATTTTCATTTGAGTTTTTATTCACATTATTCATTCATTTGAGAGTTCATGGGATTCAAGCATTAAAGTAGCTCTACTCTTCGGCCGGGCTACGCTGTACTTTTGGATATTGAAAAAATTTTAAAAATTCGCACCCAGTCAGTATTATCTAAATTAAATTTCGCAAAATATTGATATTTTTTCAAACAGTTCCCTCTTATAAATAAATAATGAAACTTGTTTGTAAAACGGTAGATTATTTTTTATGAGGTGTCAAAAACATTCTTCATTTTTTCACATGTAATAAAAAAAGTCAGATTTTAATCTTTGATTACAATGGAAATGTTGATTTTCACGTAAGACACTGCTTTAAATCCTGATTTTTAAACATTTCTTCTTTGATAAACCAAAACGATCATTAAATTAAGAAAAAAATTAGAATTCCGAATCTAATCGAGTTTTCTGCAATTTTTTACAGTTTTCAATAATCTTTGAATTTACTGTAAGGGTAGAGCTACTTTGAAAATACGAGTTTATTAATTAATTGTGTCACTTTTTATGCAATATTCAACGATTTTATTTTTAAACAATTTGGCATTCTATGTCTGCTATTTTTTCACTGAACGTTTCGACATTACGAAATTTTCTGACAAATTATGCATTTTTCATTTTTAGTCCATACATATAATAAACAATTTTTTTATTTTTCAATTTTTACTATTATTTACTTCATTATTCAATAAAAGTACGAATTTTACACATTTTAATTTAAAATGTGACAATTTTATTTTTAAAAAGAGTATTATTTATTTATAAAAAGTGAATGTTAAGAAGGAATTTTTGATAAATATAATTTTAATTCTGTTCATCTATGGATTTTTTCATTTTTTTTTGTACAAACTTCAATTGACAAATTTACATACTGAAAATTCCCGCGGTGAGTCTTGAGAGTCTTGAGAAAAAAAACTCTACGATTTGAATTCAAATAATAATTTTTTTTCAAAAGCCACAATCTCCAGAAAATGAAGGAGGGAATTAAGATTAAACAAATGAGGATTTAATTGTCATTGATGGGGAGGAGTGAAAGGGGAAGAGATTTGTTGACGAGACCACACATCGGGAGAGGTGACAAGAGGGAACGACAGGGTGGCCCATTTGCCGCTGCGCCTCGTTAAATTCAAGTGGTCCTGACATCGGAATCAAGAATGTCCCCCAACTGCATCATAAAGGGTTTCTTTTCTCTTTGGGTTTTTCTTCGTCTTTCGTGATAGGTGAAGATAATTTTTTTGGGACTATCGCGGGGTTCCACAGTGAGAAAACAATTTCAAATTGTCAGTAACAAAGTTACGAACTTACAAAAATTCATGTTGAAGCTTTTAACATGAATTTTCCTTTAAATAAAAAACTATTTAATTGAAGTTTAGATTGTTGAAGTTGAGGATTGATTAAACATTAATTCAACATTAATTAAGACAACGTTTCAGATGATACCGATTTAATAATGAAGGAGTTACGAATACATTGAGATCGAATTATAAATTATGAAGATATTTTTGAAAATATTGAAATATGAGAAGTTGAATTTGAAAACTGGAATAATGATTAATTCAAGAAAAAGATGTTGTTAATTCAAGAGCCCCCAGTTCTGGTGCAGAGACGCCACCGCAAGGTGGCGCAGTAGCTAAACCGAACCTCTAAATACATTCCATCACGCTCTCGCTCTCAATAAGTGAATGAATAAATAAATATGTTCATTATTAATTCAAGAGAAAGTTTTTAATTTTTGTTCAAATCATCAAATCAAGAACCAAAAATTTTCATTTCTCAAATAATCGAAATTCAAGGACCAAAACGTTTTTAAAAATTGCAAAAATTTGTTGTTAAAAAATTGAGGTCTGAAAAAATCAGAAAAATTCATCGAAATGCTGCAACCCAATTCCATTAAACCAAGAATAAACTCATGTTCTCGATCCTCCACCCCCACCCCTAATTTCAAACTCACTTTAAGAAGCAATTCTTATCCCGCGTGGTTCACGCGTCCTGACCCATCCCAGGTTATTATCGTGGGTAATGGTGCCTAAAAGCCGGTGCTCTCGCTTTTGATTAAAATTGCCTTTTAATTCATTTGGGTCAGCCTCTAATCTTGCGGCTCCGCCGATACCCCCAATGAAATGAAACATAGGGCTAAACTATTGCAACATTCATGAATAAATTTCCCCCTGCCCCCTCTCATTCCACCCCCTACTTAATTTTTATCCTTCATTCAATTCCCATTCTCAATCCAAAATGGCTTTTTAAAGGATTAGTTAATAAATTAAGACTAATTTGGATGCAGATATTTCAGTACTCGTAAGGAATCTTGAGTGCTGGCATCGCGTGACTGGAAGAAGTCATGTTTATTTTAATCTCAATTGGAGATCTGAACAATGATACTGATATTCAAATGAGATAGGGCCCGGTGATGGCCCGTTAACATTTTAATAATAATAAAGGGGGAGCTGTTTCGCGTCGCTGGGAAGCCCGGATAAAACTCATGCCAAAGATTGTTAGCTGCATGTGCCACACAGAGAGAAAAACAAACACGTTGTCAAACAAGTCTTGTTTGGGCCAACAAAATCGCTAATTGAAAATTGCCAAAAAAGAATTTGTTTGCTTCGAATTTGAAAGTCTCAAACATGAATAATTATAAAATATCTCATATAGAGGAAAATTTATCAATTAATATTTTATCCCTAAGTTACAAGATTGCTATCATACCATTATTATTTTTTCATTTAAGGGTTCATTTCTTGTCTGTGATTATTAGACAGCCGAAACGAAAAAATACTATCCCTTGTTTCGCATAAAACGGAGAATGCAATTTTTTTTGAACCACTAAATCTATTTTTACGCCACAATTTTTCATTCCGGCGCCCTCTCTGCATGTTTGGCCCAAAAAAATCCTTTTCTGATAATTTTCAAAAAACTATTTTCTTGGCACAAGTAAGACTTGTTTGAGAACCTTGTCGTTTTTCTCTCAGTCTAGGGGAAAAATCCCTTCAATTATCATCGAATGATTCCTTTACGATTGAATAAAACAGCGATAATTAACTCGTCTCCTCAATTAAATCTCAGCGCACGGCCAGTGGGACTAATAGTCGTCGTACAGTCGTATTTGATTATACGGGGAGGTTTATCGGGGATGTGGCAGAACGAAAATTGCACTGGTCGATCGATCTCACGTTGACGGGTATAAAACTATCTTCGGTATTTACCACTTATATTGGAGCATAAAGTAGAGATGCGCTGAGGGCGAGAAAACAAATTGCAGCTTGGCACTGCATCGGCGGGTGAGGGGGTGAGGCTGATCGCAATCGGCGTCATGGAGTGAGGATGGAGGGGCTATTAATTAATGGACGCGGTGGAACAATTAATTGGAGAGACGGGATTCTGATCCAGAGGGGGGCTGGTTGCGGCAGATACTGGAAATAGATTTTAAACAGTGGTTCGGGGCTTTCTTATGGGCAATGAGGAGGATAAATAAATGGGCGAGCGTCCCGGGCTGTGGTACAGAGACGCCACTGCAAGGTGGCGCACTAGCTGAACACAACTGCTCATTGAAGATATTTTCCCAGGTGTCTGATGGATTTGGAAAGAATTTTGACGATCGCAAATATATTATATTAATTTTGTAATAAATTTGCGATTAAGTTACAGATATTTTTTTTAATTTTTTTTATTCATATTTTCTTTCCGACTGCCATTACGGTTTTATAGGCTCCCCATTCGTCGCCCTTGCCTCTCCCACTTCTCTCTTCTGATTAATTTATATAATTAATTTTTTTATATAGTATTTTTTAGGATGATTCGGCATGTCGGAGTCATTAAATGTGAGAAATAAAATTGTTTGAATGAAGAGTCAGTTGAAGATTGTGGGATGAATGAACTTTTGGTTGGATTGCCAAATATTATTGCATTTTGAGAAATTTAGATTGCTATTTCTATTTGATTTTTATGTAATAGTCTCCGGCCTTGGTACAGAGACGCCACCGCAAGGTGGCGCAGTAGCTAAATGCAACTACTAAACACGTTTCATTACTGTCTTTCAATAAATGAATGAATAAACAAACATAGGGAAGAATTAAAAATCATTATAAGGAATGAATATTTCCAAGTGTTTTCTGGCCCTGAAAAAACTTTGATGATTAAAAATTCGTTAGTACTAATATTCAAGACCATTTGTCGCCTCGAAGTCACCAAATGTGTCGAATAAAATCATATTTGAATAGGTGTTTATATTTATTTTCGTAATGACAAATTATTGCGTTTTGAAAAATCGTTTGAACTGCAATTTCAATCTGATTCTTATGAAATAGTCGCCAGCTCTGGTACAGAGACGCCACCGCAAGGTGGCGCAGTAGCCAAACACAACCACTAAATCCTCTTTATCACTCTCTCAATAAATGAATGAATAGATAAACATGGGAGAGAATTCAAAGTTATTAAGGAAAAATATTGTTCTCATATTAGTTTTTTGGGAGAGTCCTATCCTGAATACAAAAAATATCAGCAAAATTACTCTGTGGAATTATTGTAATTAATAACAGTTCGAAATAACAACATCTGAATAATATTGTACTCAATCATAATATTTGAGAATTTTTGTTACCGGCCAATCCACAAAGCACAACCGTCCCGCAACGAGCGGAGATCAAAGGTGGGACAGGTGAAGTCTGGTTTAAACTTTCAACACGATAATCACAGTTCGCGCACAGTAGATTAATTAAATTCCAGTTCTCCCGATGATTTCCACTCCGGCTCGTGGTGGTATCATTTCCACGTCAATATGCCCTATCGCGATAAACATACAGCATGGAACTGACCGATCCTCGAGGAAGCTTTGGAAATCGTTAGACCGTAACTGCCGTATCGCAGGTCATTACTCCGATTTTTCATTGAATCATCAAGTCTTTCCGATAGAATTTGTTTAAAAAAAAACATGAGTCAATTTTTTCTATCAACAACAAAAAATAAGTAAAATCCAACTGCAACTAATGAATATATAAAATATATAAAATAATTTTTTTCAAAATCGACTTCATGTAAAAAATATAATAAGGCGAGTAATAGTTTAAATAATTTTTATCATTTATTTGCAAGAATTAAATGTTGATTTTTTTTGCAAAATAAAATTTGAATTTTTTTTTTTATTTTTAATCCCTCACGGCGCCCATATAACGCGAATTCGCGCAACGCCCGGGAGACTTAAAAAATTGAAATAAAATGCATTGGCTGTATTGAACTTTGAAATGAACTCCTAGAGAATTTCCTAATTTTTGCCACCAATTTCGAACATGCTAAATTTGTTTATAAGAAACAAATTATTCAACAAATCGAAATTCAACTTCTGCCATTCGATAGAAGGATCATTGAAGTATTTTCAGTAAAAATTTCAAAAAATTTTGGGGAAATTTTGGCGCTAAACGAGATGATTTAATGATTGAATCGGTTGGATGTAAAATTTTCATCTACAACTTTTGTTCATAGAAAAAAATATTATAAATGCATTGAAAAAAAATAAAGTAAAATAGTTAACTGCAGAGACAATTCCAAGACTTTCCAAATATCTTTTCCAAATGTCGATGTCTCTTAGAATTCGAGAAAAGGATTTTTTACTGTTGACGTTTTACTGCTGAATTTGATTCTTTGGAAAATAATTTAATTTCAGAGACTTTCTCACTCGAATCACCTTCAGAAGTCGTTTTTTTCGGGAATGATTCCTCCCGTGATGTTGATTAATCGCCCTCGAACTCGAAACGAGTATTAGGTACCTCGCGATGAAGTATAGCCCGCAAGATATGGGAATGAAAGCGATGGATCTTGGGGAGGTGTAGACGGGGAGCTCAGCGTGCGGCGCGCGAAAACTGGCTCCTCTGTTTGTTCAAGCGCCTCTCTCGCTACCTTTTCACTCTCTTTACTCCCTTTCTCGCTGGTCTCGCACACCCCGAAGGTGGATTATTTTCACAGAGATGCCGCCCGGCATGGATAGGGCGGACAGCTCGTTCTTTACCACGTACGTTTCCCTCATATTCCATTCGGCTGTGTTCACTGTATGCCAATGTTTCGTGATATTCCGGCAAATTAAAAGAAAAAACAGAGGGATGGGTCCCACGAATTATTCGGCAAATTGCAAGCTGCACGCGAGCCAGATTTTTGGGGCATGATTATTACGAGGCGTTACCATTCTCGCTTGTTTTTCGGGAATTATTTTTCTCGGCTCGTGAATTGTTGGGATTTTGTCAGGTCAAATAGGTGTTTCTCCACGGCGAAAAAATTTTATTTCACATATTTCAAATAAATGAAATTATTTTCTTCAATTAATTTGTTTTCTTACTTGAATTATTTATTAATTACAACAGTAGGAGAAAGTGGAGCAAAACAGATCAGCTTCGGTCTTCAATAACTTGAGAACGGCGGAGTGAAATTTCAATACTTTTCTTCCATTTTCAAGATATTTTTTGGAGCTTGAAAATGAGCCCTCATTCATCAAAATCACATCATTAGTTCATGGGATATAGGCGATTCAACAAAAAGTTTTATTTTTTATTTTAGAGAGTGGAGTGAAAGGGATCATCTTTAGTCTCCAATAACTCGGCAACGGCAGAGTGAAATTTCGCTCTTTTTTTTCATTTTCAAGGTATTATTTCAAGCTTAAAAAATGAGCCTTGACTCGCCTAAATCGCATCGCTGGGCCAGGAGAAATCGTCGATTTGAAGACTGAAATTTCGCACTTTTTATTAGAGAATGAAGAATATTCATTTGAAATGACTCTGACGACGTTTTCCAATCAAATAAATATTCATTGCGAATCGTTGATGAAATAAAAATTGTGGGATTGACAGGGTTAATGAAAAATTTCATAAAATTAATATACTTACGATAAGGTGCGTTGAATTCATCCCGCGCCATGGCCTTGACGTTGCGTCCCAACACGGTGATATTGCCGCTGCTGCAAGTCGAGTAGAGACTCACGGAGCGCACCATTGCCGGTACAGCCCCGCACATCACTACCTGCAATTACAATAAAACCAATGCCGATGAAATTTATTTTTCCCCGGAAGTTTGCTGACGGGGGAGGAGAGAGGGGGCGATAAAACGATAGGTGAAACAGTAAAAGTATCTCGAGTTCAACGAAACGAGATGACAAATCTACTGGGAAACAGGGGGAGGGGGCAGGC